GCCCCCATCGCCACTCGCCGCCAGCCCTCTGCTGGGCACCCGCCCAGCCTGGCAGAGCATCTGAGACGCCAGGGCAGAGGGCGGCCGCCTGTGTAGTTCCGGCTGGAGTTTCAGAAACCCGCGGGGTGGGTGGTGCCGCAGACCCAAGGGGAAATGGGGCCCAGAAAGGCACGGCCCCGAGGGCTGGGCACCCATTTCCAGCCTGGGTTTCAGACAGTCGCCACCAACATGGCAGAGAGGCTGGGGCGTGTGACCGCTGGCGGCTGACCCGCCGCTACGGAGGCCGAGGTGGGGGAGGCTCCCGGAGGGACAGGCTGCCCTCCACGGGGTTGGGGCTAAGCAGATGGGTGTGGACTCAGGAGGAATTTCTAGGGGCACCTCCCCCAACCCCCCCAGAGCATCGATGCTCCCCCAAGCAGGGAGGAGGAGTCAGGGATTGATCTGTGGGAAGGAGGGCCCCCCATCTCCTTCGCTATCTGTCTGGGGAGGTTCCAGCTTCACCCCATTCATGGAGCCGGGCAAGGGCGCCCCTCCCTTCTCCCTGGTCTGTGTGCGTGTGTGTGCGTGTGCGTGTGTGTGTGCATGTATGTGTGTGTTAATCCTCACCCAAGGATGTTTTCCATTGATTTTTTTTAGAGAGGGTGGAAGGGAGAAGGAGAGACATCGATGTGAGAGAGACACATCGATTGGTTGCCTCCCGCATGCACCCCAACCAGGGCCAGGGAACCTGCAACCAAGGTACATGCCCTTGACCGGAATCGAACCCAGGACCCTTCAGTCCGCAGGCCGACACTCTATCCACTGAGCCACACCGGCCAGGGCTCTCCTGGTCTTTTCCCTCCCCTCCCTCAGCTCTGCCTGGCAGGCCCTCCCCCTGGGGCCAGAGCAGCACCTGTGGCTGAGCCACCCTCTGCCACTGACGGCCCCCCGGCGGCCCACAGCCCCGCGGAGGCCCACCTTGTCGTTGATGAGGATCTCCATGGGGTTGTTGCCCCACTCGATGAGGACCAGCTCATTGGCCTGGCCGGGCACCGCGTAGGAGAAGGGCGTGCCCACGCCGGGCGCGGCGCTGGACTTGAGCCACATGCACACGGTGAAGGCGTACATCTCGGGCAGGCTCCTCTTCACCTTGGCGTACATGTAGTTGGTCCGCAGCGGGAACGTGAGCTGGAACTTGTCCCCGGGGCGGCTGTCCTTCTGGCCTGGGGGGGACGGACACAGTCCTGACGCCTGCACCCCGGGGAGC